CCGGACCACTTTTTTCGTACCAGCGTAAACCAGAGGTTGCAAACATGTTTACAAGTCAGTGTGCAACTTGCAAAGATACAGTTGGCCATGGACCTCAGTGTTCGGTATGTAAGGGAAACTATCATTTCAACTGCGCTGGCATATCGGAACGAGGTTTTAGCAGGCTGGGAAGCGGAAGAGATTCGTGGATCTGTCCAGCATGTCGGGATACCAACGGCTCACAGTTACAAGACATTAGTCCTTCTCCGTCTGCAAGTAGCACCCCATTGGCTTCACAAAGGCTATCATCTGGGCTTCCAATCGACCGAGCAAGTTCTCCGCGTCCGGTGAGCCCAGGCCAACAATCTCAGGACTCAATACTACAAGACATCTTGGCTAAGGTCACAAGCCTGGAAAAGCGGTTCATCGCATTCCAAACAATGGAGTCCGACGTCAAACAACTTAAGGAGGACATTTCTGATCTCAAATCAAGTATAAACACTAATATTGACGGCATGTCTCAACGAGTATCGCAAATTGAGGACCGCTTGATACCCCTCGAAAAGGTAAAGTCGGAGATGGAGGAACTTGAGACCGTGATAAGAGACCTAGTTGAGNATTTTGACAGCGCGAAATACCTACTTTAGAAGAAATACCAAGCCTTAAAGGTCGATTCACACATTATCACAAAGGTAACAGAGTGGAAATAAATCACGCGTGGATGCAGTTTTAAGTGAGCACCTACGTTCTAAAAGGAACCCCCATGCAAAATTTGCGACTCCTAAGCACTTGTAGTTTCTAAGATTTCGTGATGAGTGAGTGAGTCAGTCAGTCAATCAGTCAATGACCTTTTGCTTTTATAGATATGGATAATACATTATCTATGAACCCATCCCTATTTTGTCAGTGAGGACACAATGTCAGTGTCAGTTCCAACACAGGCAATCACGGACGTACGAGGAAGTTCCGTGAATCACTGATACTGAACTGAGCGAACACTCTGACGGAACTGTGGCTTCACTGATGTGTGAATCGACCATAAACGTGCTCTAGTAACAGTCTTCAGATATTTACTGGAATTTCGTCTAGAAAAATAACATTTTCTTCGCAAGTCAGACAGTAATGATTTTGAACTCCTATGGGGTCAAGTACGAAACACGGTGAAGAGAGAAAATCGTATTTGCTCCTAGTATTAGCTTTTCCCTTTGAAACGCCCACACGAGATCCGATTTTTGTAATCATTAACATAATAATATTAAACGCTGACAGTCTTTATCGCTCTTGCCGCGATCAAACACACTTTATTTCTTAGCAAAATCATAAATAATATGCATTCTATTATTTTTAACATTAGTGGCAATTTTCTGCCTTCAAGGTTTTGTAGGACATGTCTTTCTCCCAGACTCTACCAAAATATTAATAATCTCTTTATCAAAATTGGTTCAGATTAGTCAGTCAAAGCGTAATTACAGTGAAGTAAGTAGAGTACGTAACTCACTATTCATCATCATCTCACTAGATAGATCAACGATCTGATAATGCTCGCGGGAGATGCCTGGATGAGGGCAGCGTAGGACCAGTCATTGTAGAAGTGCTTGGAGAACGCCTTCGTGCAGCAGTGACGTCATTTGACTGAAACGACAACATCGAAAAGAGGTCTTTTCTCTATTTTGGATGGAAATGGCTTGGATTTTGGAAGCCACGATTTCACGTGTGTAGCTTTGACAAGTTAGTTCAACATAGGTACTAAAACTCACAAGATTCCCTCCGCTCCGGCGGATATTGTCAAATCGTTTCTCCCGTATTTCAATTCGCGTGGCAATTTATAAACGTGGATGTCACCCACTTGGCAGGACGGCCGCGTTTATGACGTCACGAACGGCGGTAACGCGGGAAATCCATAAATTTATTGCTACGCTCGCCCTCGCCCTAAAGGGTTCAATACAATTTTTTTGTTCACGTAGCTTGAGTTCGCGAGGGTGGTTTACATTTTACGACGGGTATATTTCTAATCTGAATCGCAGAATCGCTAAAATCAAGTGGCAGTGGGCGGGGCACATAGCTCGTAGAGCTGATGGCAGGAAAGTTCTTGAGTGGCGACCACGAGCCGGAATCAAAATCAAATCAAATCAAATCAGTTTATTTGCGTGAAAAGTGGTCTACAAGTTCTTACAATATTAAAATGTCCGCACAGTCCACCAGAAGCTGGCATGCAAATATTGTTAACATTATATTTATAACATTAAAAATTAATAAATTACATTTTGGATTTTAATTAATAACTTTTAGTGTCAATTGAATTTAATTAATAATACATAATTTAATTAGTAAATAAGTCGGTATTCATGTCAATTTTAAAGGTTAGGTACAAAATTTATTACACAGGACAAACCACTGTTTATAACAATAAAATCATCACATCGGTCAATCATAAACTAATACGAGAATATAATTAGGTATGTCATAAAACAGTCAAAATATTTGGGTTTCAACTAAAACACACGAAATCTACTGTCGAAGGATTGAAAGTATTCTTCCACAGAGTAGAACCCAGCTTGTACCAACAATGTTTTTAGTTTATTTTTAAATGGTTGCAAAGGAAGAGACTTTGTTGTTTCATCTAACCTGTTATAAATTTTTATGGCCATACAGTAAGCATTTTTACTGTACAGACTGGTAGTTTTCGCAGGGAAATTTAATCTATGTGGATATCTAGTATTAAAGTTACATTCACTACTTTTAGTCTTGAACAGAGTAAAATTTGTCTTGACAAACACACAAATCTCGTAAATGTATATACACGGGATAGTTAACAAGTTCGATTCCTTGAAAATGGGTCTACATGACGTTAGACTGTCCACGTTGTAGATTGCCCTGATACATTGTTTTTGGGATTTGAAAACTTGATTTATATGACTCGAATTGCCCCAAAGTATAACAGCATACCTTAGCAGCGAGCATACATAGCCATGATACGCCTGAATGGCTACTTTTTTGTCGCTGATTCGAGCCAATCGCCAGAGTGCATACGCAAAGGAATTAATTTTACCACATATCATGTCGATATGTATTTTCCATGAGAAGCGATCATCTATATGAATACCCAGGAAGATAGTTTGGCTGGACTCTTTAATTTCTTGATTTTCAAAAAGTATGTTTAATGATAATTTATTTCCATTTTTATTTATAAATTGAATGTATGTCGTCTTATTTAAATTTACGTGTAAGTTATTATTTTTAAGCCAATCTATTACCTTACGTATAGTGTTATTAATATCTTGGTTATAAGTTCTAGTGTCATTGCACGGTATTACCACAGATACGTCGTCAGCAAAAAGAGTGCATTTAAAGTCTATTGCATCTGGGAGATCGTTTATGTACAGCAGAAACAGCAGAGGTCCCAATATACTGCCTTGCGGTACTCCAAATTTATTTATCCTAGTATGTGATCTATATGAATTTATTACATTTTTTGGGTCAAAATTTGAAATTTCGACAGACTGCTTTCTACCATTTAAGTAACTTTGGAGCCATTTGTTTGCTATACCTCTTATCCCATAAGAATTACATTTTTTTATAAGAATATCGTGTGACACAAAATCAAAGGCCTTGCTCATATCAAAGAACACGGTGGTTACAGGTATACGCTTATCCATAAGGGACATCACATTATTTACCAATGAAAAAGCAGCTAACGATGTTGATTTGCCTTTTTGGAATCCATATTGTTCTGTCTTAATGATTTTATGCTTATCCAAGAATTTAGTAAGACGGACATGCATGGCTCTTTCGAATATTTTCGAAATGACAGGCAAAATAGATATCGGGCGGTAGTTTGCCATATTTTTCCTATCTCCCTTTTTATGAAGAGGCTTAATAATGGCAATTTTAAGCTGATCAGGAAAAGTTCCTGTAGAAAACGATAAATTAATTAAGTGGGCTAATACTGGTGCAATTTCAACTTTACAAAGTTTTAGAATTTTAGTAAGTATGCCATCATAACCAATTGATTTAGTGTCTTTGAGTGAACTTATTATTTTAATAACTTCATTTTCATCTACTGGAATTAAGAACATGCTAGAATTCGTCAAGTTCATTTGATTGATGTCAAAAGTGTCATTATTTGTGTCAGAAATTTCATTAGTCAGGTTTATATAGTAGTCATTAAATTCGTTTGATATGTCAGTGGGATTCAATATGCTATCATTATTTATTACTATTTGGTCAATATTTCTGTTTATTATACTATCACTGGTCTTGTTTTTAATTACGTCCCAAGTAGCCTTACACACATTTTTAGATTTACACAAGTAACTTTTATTTGTATGGGAAATACTTTACTTTACTTTTAGTACTTTGTATGGGAAATTTCAATCCAGTCTTTCGATTATCGATAGGTAGGGCTTTGCGATTCGATTTTTTGCCGTTTGACTAAGCCTTTTTTGTTATCGACCTCTTTTGCGATTTGTTTGTTTGTTTGCGACTGGTTTGCGATGGGTTTGCGATTTTAAAGTGCGTTTTGACTAGACCCACTGCATTCAAAGATTACCAAAAAACTAGTATCACGCCCGGGAATCGAACCAAGTAAAATCTTAAAAATTACACCCTGCATTTTTATTGCATCAATCGTTAGGGTTAGGTTAGGATGAATTCAACGCATTTTTTCCCCGGAAAAAAAAAAGGATGAAATCTCTCCAAACTTGATATAATAAATGAAAGGAAAACCATAAAATGGTAAATAGTTGAAAATAGTTTAGACCCTAATCATAACTCATACCACACAGTAGCATACCACGTCGTTAATTCCTCTATAGTATGTACCACTTACAGTACAGACACTATCACAACGATACGGAATTTTGGGACAACCTGTATTTATTATTCGACTCGCTATATTTAACGATTTTCGACTATTGATTGCCGCAACACTAATGACAGTGACATGCAGTGACATGGTGACACTAGTGACCATAGACACCAAGTGACACTTATCAACAAGTCCTGTGACCTGTCATCTGTCATGTCATGTTGATTGTTTACGCTTGGTGGTGCAATTTGTTGTAACAATCTGTAAATTAAATTAAAATCCATTTTCCATACCATGTCGGAACTTGTCGTGAAGAATGTTGATAATGCCTGTGAGACAGCAGAAGAATTCACCAGAGTATTTTATAAACAAGTGGATAACAGTCGCCACCTAACCTCAAAATTATATTTGGAAACGGGTCTATTGGTTTGGAATGGCAATGGGATCAATGGCAGTGATAAGATACAAAAATTTCTAATGGATTTACCGGCAAGCAACCACGTTTTGAAAACCTTAGATGCTCAACCTATATCAGAAAGTTTGGTGTCGAACAAATTGACCTACCTCATCCAGGCGTGTGGCGACGTGACTTATCAGAATGATGACATCAAGAAACCATTCCAGCAGACGTTCTTAATCGTAGCAGTTGATGGCAAATGGAAGATTGCGTCAGACTGTTTTAGACTACAAGTGCCGTACAGTTAACAAGGAACAGGATGTTTGCTTAATTGACTGATAAACAATAAGTTATTGTTTTGGAACAATATCTGTGAATTATTTAAGATATAAATTAAGATTTACTGGTAATACAAACAATATATGTATAAGCAATCACATTCAGTTTTACTTATTGTAGTAGAGTTCGTATAATTGCATTGTATAAAAAGGATTATTAACACTAGATTTTTATTACTGTAGTGTGCTATTATGCTTGTAGTAGCTATTGCATTGTATAATTAATACTTAGTACATTAAACGACTCGTAAAGTAAATGAATTTTTATTGTTCAATACAGAAAATATTACAATTATTATTAATTTTGTTGTGTAATTAAAATCTGGAGTAGTCTCCAAGAAAATTGTTGCACTTGGGGCAGTAATGTTTGGTTCTCTTGAATGTTGGTAGTAAGTAAGGTATTGCCCCCAAACAACACATCATACACCACCTGAAAAACAAGTGATGGTTTTAATAAACATCTTGCAAAAACTGGTATTTAAATATCTATAGCAGTTTTTCTAACTTGTTCAGCAGTAACAGCAGGTATACTTACAGAGTGCAACCGCAAATAAAGCCAGCAAACATGTGTGTCTTCTGTGTGTTTACATATTCCACTTTTGTCAAAGAGTTTTCTTTACAGATTCCACAATTGTAAAGCACTGGCCTGTCTTTGAGTGGCGCTTGCACTATAATAGTCTGTTGCACCACAGGTAGCTGCTGGTTTGCAGTAGGTTCATTGGTTACTGTGTAAGGTGGAGGGGGTTCCCGGCTGTAGTTAACTGTTTCTGAATCAATAATTATTTCTGCAGGAGAAGCATAGCTTGGCACACTATGATTACCACTATTTATTGTCACATCTCTTGGATTTGAATCCATTTTGAACAGAGGTGAATTTGTGAACTCTTGACTACATAATATTGCTTATGTGCTTGATGATAAACAGCGAGTTGTTATCTCTTATCACTTAGTCACCATTGGTATTTTCTTGTTATCACTTTTTGATAAGTGTCTAACAGATAAATAGAAGTAGGTACTTTTGTTCGTATGAACTATAATAATAAAACCATTGTCTAAATAAAGAAATTTGGCTTTACTTAATTACATTTGTTATCATTTTCGACTCGGTACTGATGCTGTTGTAAGCTAAACCTTCTTTAGAATACATATAAAATAGTCAGCCTTACCATCAAAGGCAACAGGAAGTGGTGTAACTGAAATGACCATTGCACCACTTAAAAAAATATATGTAATATGATTGTTTTGTTAATAAAGAATGAATTTAACAGCATTTAAAGGTAAAGGAATGCATGAGGCATGATGTTAAATGAAGTCATAGTAATTAGTATATTAATCTGAAGATGTTATAAAAATGTAAGTAAATAGGCAGAAAAAACATGTTGGATAATGTGAAAAAATATATTTCAGTGGGAATGTATGTATGCTTATTGAAACAATGCAAAAACAGTCAGTCAGTAATAATACATATTAATTTACTAAAATGACATTAATTTTGCATTTTAAATATTTATTTAGGAAGTTATGTATAAATAACATAATAAATAAATTATCCTAGATACAATCATTGAAAATTTTATAGATAGTGTTTCATTACAAATAGTACTTAGGTTTACAAGCCTAGTAAAGTAAATACTTTTGAAAAGGTAGAATAAACCTATTTCAAATAAACAAAAAAAAGTTACCAAAACTAGAAAGCCTTTGGACATAAATAGTTGCATCTTACACAACAAGAATTATGAAATAGTATATTTTTATCATATAAACCATCACATTAGCAATGCCTTATGTATTTAAGGCATTTTACATATCAGGCCATACAGTAGGTCGAACCTTCGTAGTTGCACCCTTTTCTATTAGATCTAACTGGCTTAACACTTGTTACTTTTTCCAATAAAAGTGTTGCAGTTAGGGCAGTAATGTTCAGCATCCTTGAATGTATCAAAGCAGTACGGAACAAGGCCCAAGCAGCACAGAGAGCAAAACCTGTTGACAATTAAACAGTTTGTTAGTTTTTGTAATATTAGAACAAATAATTAATTTAATTTGCCAGATTAATCCATACTTACATTGTGATTACGCAAACTGAACCAGCAACCAAATGAGTGTGCCAAGCTGTCGTGTATGTGACTCTGGTTGTGACAACTTTGTTGCAGTTGAAGCACGTAACCGTGGTGGGCTCGGTGCCTACTGCCGGAGACAAGACTACTCCGATGGGCACGCCGGGCGGTGGTGGAGGAATGCCACTCATTTGCGGCTGCGTGCTGGTCACTACATTAGGCGAATGCGGATGGGGGTAGACTCCGGGAGCGGTGAATTGTTTTAGGGGCGGTTGTGCGTATGGCCCCGGTGGGATAGGCTGAGCGTGAGGCTCACCCGCAGGGGCCACGAATCCATAATGTGGATTACCAACCACTGCAGAATAAGGTGGCGGAAGATCTTCAGGGGCAGATGCCGTCGAGACTTGATTGTTCTCCATTTCTCCGACACTATAATTTTGGTTTGAAGCCAGAATAGGTTCCAACAATAGAATTTATATTTCTGTGAAAATAATAAAGTGGAACTACTAATTTTTCAAGCACAAGATCGAGTTACAATGAAATTTTAGTGATGTTTTTCGTGTAATGCGTAAACGTGAGGAAAACAATGATAAAAATATGACGTCATTGCTATGTCATGTCAGCTGTAAACCATAGATTAAAAATATTTGAGTTTTTTTCTTTTTTTCCATAATAAAACATTAACTTGAGCCACTCTACTTCGGCCACAGTTCCAGCTATCCATTTCCGGTCATGTCGTATCGTCGTTTTATCGCAAAGAGGAGAGCAAGGGGAAAAACGGAAAAGGGTAGCTGGAGGTATGGCTGAAAGTACATGTAAGTCGCCAAAGAGTGAAGTTACATACTTCGGAAAGTTGTCGCTTTACGATATTAACCACACAGCAGTATATCTTACAACTACACTCGTAAGCAAATGTATGGAATCACTTACATGAAGTTGTTTCGACGCGATCTTGTGCACTAATGAATTTGTTAGTAACAAAAAAGTGACATCATTTTAAAGATTAAACTTTTAACTTTAAATTGATACCAAATTCATTTAAATCATACCAGCATTTAAAAAGATATCCCGGCTGATGAGAAGAAGTAAGGAAAAAGACATGTATCAATTGTTTGATACGTCGCGAGTTGCGGCCTATTTACCCCCTATAAAAGCACGTGTTTTCGGATTTTGCTGTCACACGTTGATCCATACACATATCCGCTTCTTTTGACACTTTACCTGTATGGGATTCTACACCTTCAGAAGCAGCAAAAATCGTTGCACTATTGCAAGAAGGGCTCAGCCAGTGGGCTGTCTCACGTCAGCTCCACATAAGCCAGTCCTGGGTTTCGAAAGTTTTAAAACGTTTTCGGGAAACTGGTGACTTTATCCCGAGACCAAGTTCTGAACAGCGCCGGTGCACATCGCAGAGGGATGACCGTTTTTTCATGTCAACCTCTCTATGAAATCGTCATTTGACTGGTATCGACGTCCAGCAAGAGCTCAGAAATGTTCGTAGAATAGCTATTAGCAAGTGGACACTTCGTCTAAGATACTTATAAGCAATAGAATTTGACTCCAAAAAGGCCTGCCACAGGCTCGAAACTGACGGCAGGTCACCGATAAGCACGCTTTCAATTTGCTCGTACACATCTCGATGGGAAGTCGAGCAAGCCACCTCCATAAGCCACTGTTTCAGCAAACCAGCACTGTACAAATCGCTCCCCAGGCCGCCTATAGACCCGACCTCTTCGACTGCTGCACTGCAAACACAGTCTGCATTCATCGGAGAACAGAACTCGCCTCCATTACTCGCCTCGCCTCGCCTCCCGAAAGCGTCTTAAAACTTTCGAAACCCAGGACTGGCTTATGTGGAGCTGACGTGCAACAGCCCGCTGGCTGAGCCCTTCTTGCAATAGTGCAACGATTTGTGCTGCTTCTGAAGGTGTAGAATCCCAGGTAAAGTGTCAAAAGAAGCGGAGATGTGTGTGTATGGATCAACGTGTGACAGCAAAAATCCGAAAACACGTGCTTTTATTGGGGGTAAATAGGCCGCAACTCGCGACGTATCAAACAGTTGATACATGTCTTTTTCCTTACTTCTTCACATCAGCCGGGATATCTTTTTTAATACCGGTGTGATTTAAATGAATTTGGTATCAATTTAAAGTTAAAAGTTTAATCTTTAAAATGGTGTCACTTTTTTGTTACTAATAAATTCGTTAGTACACAAGATCGCGTGGAAACAACTTCATGTAAGTGATTCCATACTTTTGCTCGCGAGTGTAGTAAATAAATCTAAATAAATTATTTATCAGTGCCAAACCAAGGTAAAGGAAGAAGTTAACAGAAAATCTTTTTTGATAGCTTACACGTTTTTTCTAATAAGAATACAATTTAGGGAGACATTTATCTCACGTAATAATAGGACTTTGTGGAACACTGTCGCTCGACATTTGCCTTGTTCACACTACCCAGAGTGTGAAGTAATAATTATGTTGACTAGCGACATGTCGCGATACGTTTGATCGTCTGCAATGGCGGGCTAACGTAACGCCTTGTCATGCCATGCCATGTCTGCCGAGCCGAAAAGTAGAATTCGTGTCGAATGATAGAGTCACAGTACCTACGGCTAGCACGAAAAACTTTAGAGTTCGTATCTAGATACACCTGGTTTGACCCCACGGTCTTGTATTATGCCCGGGTCGATTCTATTTTTCTACTTCTGTCATCATGCAGATAAAGTGTTGGCATTTAAATGCATTAAGAATCTACATTTCTTTCTGCAGTGCTACTAAAACCTACAAAGAATACTATAGCCTGACCAGGAACATAAAAACCCTCGCCATGTTGCGGAAAATTAATGGTACTAATTTCTTTTAATGGCAACAGTAACTGAAAACTTCATTGACATGTCACCTTGCATGTCAGTCTATTGCTGTCAAAGTGTAAACAAACTTTATTTTAAATGTGCGCAATTGATTTTGTGAATTAAATTGCTAAAATCTTTTTATAGTCGTGAAAGAAAAGTGGTTCACAATGTGTTAAAGTATTTGTCGAAGAGAAATACTAAGGATTCGGACAATATTTTCATTGAATAATTTTTCCGACAAAGGTTGTCAAATTGACTGACATGTTTATCGTATAGTACAGTCAACTATGAAAATTAGCTGTGGTTTGTTTCAACTACCTATTTTAAAGTTTTTTGTCACTTTGTAAGTATTGAATTTTATGGAATTGGGAAAGAAGTACCGAGTTTGAAGCGTTCATGAGCAGACATTGTAGTTGAATATTCAAGTTCAGAATTTGATTATTGATGAATAATAATAAAATCCTACTTGCTCGATTGATGGTTTCATTTAATTTATTTAAACCAGTTTACCTATAATATAATACGTTTTTGTTAATTTATGAAAATATTAAATAAGCCTATAATCCTGAATCCTGATACATAAAGTTAGCCTATTAATTTAATACAGGTACGACTGTACCCAGTGTTGCACTATCAAATGCAATTGAAGCGCCTCTATGCCAGGGTTTTTATGTTCCTGGTCAGGCTATACAACTGATTGAATGTCATTATTAAAGTAAGTAAAGTAGTACGTTTTGGTTTTTATTGAAACCGACCGAATTGTTGGATAATAGTCTGGTTTTGCGGTGGTGGGCTCTGTTGAGTAACAGCTTCGCGCGCGGCCGCGGCTGTCGCGCAGTGACTGGACGCTCCGCGACGACCGCGCGTGCGCCGCTTGCACCTTTTCGTTGCAATAACGATACGAAACGCTTTTAAAACATTTGAAAAACATTCAAAATAATATTGATATTAAACAGTTAAACCAAACATTAGAGAAACGAAATCGTCAATTATTTGAATCAGTGAAAATACAGTGATACGCCGGTCGCCGATATCAGCAAAATTAAGTAGGTAATGTTTACTAATAAAATTATGTAATCCTACTAGATCTTCAGTTGCAAAAACTGTTCTGCGTACTCGTACGTATAGTTAAACTTAAACTGGCTGACATATTTGGAGAAAACATTAAATATGTATAAAATACAAAAGGATTTTATTTAGTAGTGGCTTTATTATTTTCTATTTACATAATTATCAATAATTGACATTAATTGATTTGTTAAATGAAATAATTAAGTTCGTCATAATAGTACTTAGTATATTTACATGTCTTAACTCCCATCGTAATGGCATGAAAGTTACTAGTACATATTTAAATTTCTAATGTAAGTGATTTACTCCAAGTAAAACTTATTTCCTTAGGTAATGTTTTGCCCCAGTACTGTCAGTTTACAGAACACGATACACTATATAGGTATAAATCTATGTAGATCGTAGTTAACATTGCAATATGCAACAATGTATACCAAGTTAATTATTTGTGCCTATAGGTATGAAACTTAGTAGGTAAGTTAGTAAGTATTGTTGATTGTAAATCTGGTAGTCGTAGAATTCCATGCACTCATTTTTAAATTAAATTATCTACGGGTCTCGTCACTCATGTAATTAGTGGTTTACAGGTGACAAAAGACAAAGGAAATACGTAATAATTAGCAAGAAATCGTCTGAATAGATCTTTTCCCAACCATGTGACATGAAGCACACAATAATGATTAGCATAACGAGTCTAGATACCGCGGAAAAGCGCACTTCATGTCACGTAGCACTCGCGAGGAACGCGAAGGGAAGTGTTTTTCAGAGCAATCGCTAAGGGTTGGCAATAAGTAACAAAAACAATAATTATCATATGAAATGAACTATGAAAATAAACAATCTTACCAAATTTTGAGGATTCAAATGTGTTCAGATATGTTATGTACTCCGAAAGAAAACGTTTTTTTAAAAAACGCAATTTTATTGTTGTATTTTGTTATTATTACATATTTTGTTCGTCCATAACAGATTAAGTTACAATTTTTAATGGTAATGACCGTTATATTATATCGCTACAGATTTTGCAGCTTATAAGCACCTTGGTGTATAAATTGGTTAAAATATTGGCTTTTGAATTGAACGGAGTAGGTAGGTACTTACGTGATATAGAGGTAATATTGTCAATATTAGAAGATGTTCATCACATATTATAGTTATTTAGGCCGGGTTCTTACAAGATTAAAACGTTACTTGCAGATTGAAACTTTATTTTCGTAATCATACTCATAGAAGCCCACAACTTGTCATAGTTACAAAGTTAGAAAACAAAAAGGTAATCATAGTAAGCCGGGTCTCCAGCGCGTTTTGCCCTACACAATCAACAAAAGCATCTCAACGTTCAAAAAAATTGCCTACAAAAAATGTTTAATGTTGATATATTGAAAACTAGCTGACCCGGCGAACTTTGTTCCGCCTTAATAGCAATAAATAAGCAGACTTTTTTTTTAATTTCGAACGGGATAAAAAGTATCCTATGTCCTTCTCCTGGCTCTAAACTACCTCCCTGACAATTTTCAGCTAAATCGATTCAGCCGTTCTTGAGTTATAAGCGAAGTAACTAACACGACTTTCTTTTATATATATAGATAGATATAGAAATGGCAGCCCTTGCCGTATCTATAGGCTACGCTGACCGACCGTGGTCGCAGCGCAGGGATACTATTATCCGCTCACGTAAGATCATAGCC